AATAAGTTATTGCTTCAAGAAGCCTATATTGTCAAAGGAGCCTCAATGGATAAGTATGTTACTTTGGTGCCCAGTGTAACAAAATTTTCTGTATGGGCCTATCTGTGCATAAATGACAATTCAGTTTGAATTTTCAGTTGAAATGTTCTAGACACACTAGACCTGGATAACAAAAGTAAATAGACAAGTCAGTTTTCAGCCACAACAGAAAACCCTGAAGTACAATGCTAAAATATGCTGAAGGAAGAAATTTGGTCACAGGTCTACTTTTCTCCCTCTGGCCAGAGATCAATAGCTGTAGAGAGCAACTACAGTATGTTTAGATGAGAAAAACTCACTTGAATACTGTCCTTTTTGTGCTCTGCTTCTCTTGTGTTGTACCCTGCTGTTACAGGGATTGCAGTTGAGACAAAATATATAAATGAAAGAAAATGAGGCTGTTCAGGTTGTACCATGACCTCATTTACTTGCATTTGTGTGCCACCTCAACCATTTTTGCAATCACTGTTAATTCAGTATCAGAGGAAAATGGTCTGTGGTGATACAGATTTGCAGTGTACCAAAATGCCTACAGAACCTGTTATTTAGTGCTGTCTGTCCTTCCATTGGCTTCATTGACCCAAGCATTAATACTGCCAGGTTGCTGCTAGATCTGAATATCTGAACACCAAATCAGGGTGATTATCCACACTTTTATCAGCTGTTTCTGCAGCAAGAGGGCACTTCTTCCCTTTTTATCTTTAGGTTCGTTCGTCAGGAGATTAGAAAAATTTGTGTCTGGCAGCTAAATAATCTAATTATGCTCACCTTGCAGAAATAGTGGGATTAGGATTCTGCCTGTTTTGTTGATAATCTGTTGTGTTGAGAGTCAATCTAGACTCTCTAGACAGAAAACCATGTTTTTCTTGTGTGACAGGACTAAGCAAGTCAGAGTGCAGTGTACAAGTACAGAGAAATGTAAGTGGAACAAGGCTCACTGCCACCACCTAGAAAAGAGATTTATGATAATCAGCGTGTTGCAGGAGGATAGATGGAAACTGAAACAGTAATCTTCAGGAGTGTCTCTGTACCACTCTGTGTACTCTGTGTTAGAGATACAAAGGCACAGAATGATATGCTACCCTTCTTGCTGATGATGAAACAATTCTGCAGCCAAGAATCCAAGATACAGCTTTAGAGAGAAAATGCAGAACTTCACTCGTCTCTGCAGCCTGGTATTTAGGGCACTGCTGGGAGATGCCATTATGGGCATTCTGGTTCATGCTGCCTTAGACTTTTAATTGAAAACATTACTGACAACATGGGAGATGTAGGTAAATGGAGTGAGACAGTTTATGCTGGGAGATGCCAGGGATTGCTGAGAGGGTTGAGGATCCTGTTCTTGGGTTTGGAATGTCTAAATTCCCAAAACGTCCTTCAAGTTCTAAGTCTTCTTTTGTGCCTGTGTCCCAAAGGGGTAAGATGTGCTTGCTTCTTAGGAATACTGAGCCTGATAGGTAGGAATGAATCAGGTAAGAGACTAACAGCAAAGCTAGAGCTGTATATCAGTATTTTGTAGCATAGATCAATGTGTGTAGAACCTCTTGGACCATCTTCTAATGTAAAGGAAGAACAGAGGAGAAGAATTATAGTGAAATCTTCAACCTATTGTGTGTTCTTTGCTCCCATGTTTCTTTTTTTTAGAGGTCAAGGTTTTGATAAATTGCACTGGACCCTCAACTGAAGAAGACAACAAAATAGCCTGTAGTAACTGTTTTTGAAAAGAAAAGTCTGTGTCGTGCAGATATATATTGGATCTGCAAGAATTTAAGTTTGGCTTCCTTTGTTCTCTTTACCACTAATAAACTTGGTAGACCTTTGGCTGTATGGGAGTACAAGTGACATAGAACAGTTGGAGACAGCAAGAAAGTTTCTGGCTTATATGGGAGATATCACTGTCTCCCATTTTTGTTTTGTCAGAAAAATTGGTAGCTGCAATAATGCTTGGTCTGGGACTCCCAGCCCACAAATCTTAGCTATACTTGAGGTTTTAGCCTGCTGTAGCAGAACCATCAGACTTACCAGATCACAGAGGATTCAGTGTCTTTTAGAGTGAGGAAAGTTTACCTAAGTTGTTTCCTAATGAACAAATAAGTACTATATTATGTCTCATGGAGTTGTTTTCAGAAAGTGGTGACACATTTTCCATGCAAATGTAGACCAATTGGAAACATAAATAAAGAATAGTTTTTAAAACCTCTATTCCTTTAGGACCGCTTTACAGGGCAAGTAAAGCACCTTGGCAGTTCAGGTCCACCTGAAACCAGATTTGCATGACTTACCAATTTTTGTTCCTTTTTCCTGTTCATGTCACTTGTTTCACCCCCTTGAAATCCCAGAGTGCAGTCCTGTCACTGTTGGACACGAAATGATTTACACAGACATAGCTTGAAGTGTGATGAAAGAAGAAGAAGGTTTATTCTGTCTTTTCAGTATTTATAGATTGTTGACAACAACCAGGGATTGGATAGTCAGGTCACCACCTTCCCAACCACACTGGCCGTGAGAGATGTCCATATCTTTAATGGAATGTATAAACACCTATGTTTATAGTTACTTTCCTGGGAAAGTGGCTAGAAATTATGGAAACAGCATCAAAAGGCCTGATTCTCAGGGCAACACAGTCCCTCACAATTAAAGAATAGTAGTTCCACTTGTCTTCTCCTCTCCCTGTCCCACACCTAATTCAGGTATCCCATCTCACTGGAGTGGGTCCTGTGCAACCCTTATAAAAATTATTTGAATTATTCTTCCTAGCTCCTAATAGAAGAGCAGCCTTGTTTGGGTAGTATTCCCTTTTCTGTTCACAAGTTGGTTCCCAATACTGATTTATCACCTGCACAGGCATTTGTTCTGAATGAAGAGATTAATTAATGTTTTCAAGTATTGCTCTTGCATCTGCTTCTATACACTAGGAAATTACTTTGCATAATGGATTTTCCACTAGGATACACAAATATATTCCTTTCTGCCCATGATTCTTTTGTTCTGTAGCTTGTTAAATTTTAGCCTATTGTGGGTTTATATGGTGTTTGGTTTCATGTCATAAAATCAATGATTCATGTATGGTGAAGCAAATAGTAAAATATTTCTTTTAATTAATTGGTCTTGCATAATAATTTAATCTTTAAAAAAAACAAAACCTCCCCTAATTTAAAGGGTTTTCATATTCCTTTAGTGTGAGCATGTCTTTATGAGCCAAATTGCAGTGCCATTTAGAGTATCTGCTTTAGTCATTTTCCTAAACAATTTCATGAAGCAGAAATGTGAATAAAGGTTTGATCATGACTGAGTATGTACTGTGATGTGCAGCTATCTTGAGCTGCCCTGTTTGCCTCTGAACACGAAGCTGCTTTCCCAGTCTTGCTTTCATCTTGGAGGTATTCTGTACTTTTATCTGCGTACATGCAAATGCCTGGTAGCTTCAAATTTTCATTGTATCTTTTTAGTGCAATTTTCACTGCTTTGCAGATAGATCTCAGATTGATCATCATCCTTCTTGACTTTGAACTTTTCCAGTACAACCAAGTCACACACTTTTCTTAGTTTTACCCTCTCTTGATTTGCAGATGTCTGTTACCTCCTATTTCTCTTTTACCTCCCTAATACTTGGTTCAGTTAATGCTTCTTATCTTTCATTCCCAGCACAGAAAAGAATTGGGGAGGTTCTGTAGAGTTTCGTTGTTTATTTCTCTTCCTTAGAAGTTCACTAACTCTGGATTCTGAATAGAGTTATAAGCTTATCAGAAGGTCAGATGTTTCTGCCTCCACCTGCAAATTAAGTTGCAACAGGATACTTTTGGATTCTGCAACTCATAGTCTGCATCGCTGTCAACATGGATCTGATGACTGTCTTGTGCACAGCTCTCAAAACTAGCTTCCCTCCCTACGTGCTCTTTTTACCAGCCTAAAATCCCAGTATTTGAGTCCTTTTCATAGATACATTTTGGCACATTATTACATATTATTAACATGGACCTCTCAGTATTCTCTATACAACTTGGAATTTTTCAGCTACTCAAAGAGCTCTACTCCCATTGCTTCTTATACTGACCAGTGTTTTCTTATGGTCCTTATTGTACTCAGTACTTCCAAGACTAGATCCTAGCTCTCTGGTCTCTAAACTTTTACTCAGGCTGTCATGATAGCATGGAGGAACCTTGTGGTGTTTATGCAGACCTTGCCAGGAAAGGATGTGGAATGGCAGCTAGGGCTTTTCAGAAACAATTACACTGATTTTCTCACCTACACATTGCTAGGATTTTAAAGACAGAAAACTTTCTTCATAGGGAGGCAAGCTCTGAGAGAGAGGGGATAGCATGCATGTAATAATAGGAGAAGATACATAAAGATGGATATCACTGATTTAATTCTATTTTATTTTGGTGGGGGCAGATAGTATTTGTTTACTGTTTCTGCTTACCTGTTATTGCTTATTATAGTAGTCCACAGTAAATTAGTTACTTTTGCTAAGAAGAAATAAAAAATAAGAAAATAAGAAAGAGATGTTGTCAATATAAAAACCACACTCAATCTAGCATGACTGAAAATGAATACTCCTTGTATGAACAGAAGTCAAGTGGGTTCCTCCATGCTGCTTCTTTCAGCTTTACTTTTGGTACTAAATAACACTTTTCCCTAAGTAATTTCATCGATTGCTTTATATTCAATCTACCAGTGAAACTTCTGTGAGTCTTCCCTGAAACTCAGGAAAGTGTTAAAAGGTTATAATTAAAAAAATGTTAGCAAACATTAGTAAAGGCAAATTGGAGGATCATATTTTTATAAATTCTTTATAATTTTAGAAAAAGTTAATCCCCAGTAACAAACATAAGTATAATTTATAATTTGCCTACTGTCCCATTTCTACTCCTATATTTTGTATTTCCATTACTATTTTTATGTTGTCCAATTTTAACTGAACCTGCAAATTTTAAAGAAGAATAATTATTTCTTTTCAGAGTGTTGGGAAGAAATTACCTCCAGCCACAGCAACTCAGGAGCCAACAAAAATAGAAGTGGACAGCAGAACAAAAAGTAGGTTTCATAGGTTTTTCTTTTTTGCACTTTGTGCTATTAAAAGCAAGCTGCATACTTTTCTGTGGTTTTGGTTAAAAGAGTGTCCTGTATATAAAAAAAGCAAGGATGCAGATAGATATATTTAGGATAAACTTTTAGAGGTGGTACCTAGACAAAGTGCTTTGTTTCACAGAATCCTCTGAATTGTTTCTGCTCTGGTGATCCTACCTCAAGTTTTCTGCCATGAAAAATAAAATCAAATTATGTGATCAACTTTCAGCCTTCAGGATACTTTGGAATTAATCAGAGTTGAATAAGATCCAAATTCAGGCTGTAACTTTTAGGAAGGTCATAGAAAAATTTCTGTTGTTGTGAATGCCCTTGCCTTTTTCCTCTTTTTTAAAAAAATTACTTAAATTATTTTATTTCTATTTCTTAATGTAGCAGAAATAAACTGTATGCATGGTACAGTTTGTGTGGGAAATCAGAAGAGAAGGCTCTGGGGAGACCTTTCAGCAGCCTTCCAGGACCTGAAGGAGATCTACAAGAGCGCTGGAGAGTGAATTTTTACAAGGGAATGTAGTGACAGGACCAGGAGAAATGGCTTTAAACTGGGAGAGGGCAGGTCTAGATTAGATGTTAGAAATTTGTTACTGTGAGGGTGTTGAGGCCCTGGCACAGGTTGCCCAGAGAAGCTGTGGTTGCCCCATCCCTGGCAATGTTTAAGGCCAGGCTGGGTGGGGCTCTGAGCCACAAGGTCTACTGAAAGGTGTCCTTGCCCATGGCAGGGGGCACTGGGACTAGATGATCCTAAAGTTCCTTTCCAACCCAAACTATTCTCTGGTTCTCTTATCTTCAGTTCTTTTTTCATCATTTCAGTGCTTAGCAATGAAAAAGTAATGATTAAATATTTTAGGTATGTCTCTAGCTTACCAAGTAACATACACATATATTTCACATATTTTGATTTTATTTATATAAAGTTACAACTGGATGTTACAGATTCTGGTGGAAAGGAACAAGAGGAAAGAGAACCATATATATATATATACACATATATAGCCATACCTTAGAAAAGAAGCTGAATATAACAGAGTTGATTTTCTTTAAATCTTGCACCGTCCTTCTTCCCTGATGTGTTTATCCTTTTAGATAGTTAGCAGATAACATTTTGTCTCAGAACTGAAACACATGCAGATATATGCAGGAAAGAATCTGGATCAGCAGAGCAGGGTCTGTCTGAGGGAAGTGTGTGGTTACAAACTAGTTTGTACAGATTTTCTGCTCAGAGTTGCAAAAGCAGCTTGTGAGAGCTTTTAGTGAATTATTGTCCATTAGCTGCACCACAATCATTGACTTGCTACATCCTCTTATCTTGTGCCCCTGGGCCAGCTGGTTCTAATGGGAAGTACTGCAAGAATTCAGTTGCCCTGAGGATGTGAAAACTTGAAACACTGAAAAATGTGTGAACTGGTCATGCAGAAGAAGGCTCCTGAAAGTGTTTTGGAATTACCTTTGCCAACCTGCAGGATGAACAGGTCAAGCTGACCTGAGTGCAGGTGCCACCAGAAGGGGTGGTGGTCCAGGGGCTTTGCCTTTGTGTGGGAAACCAGGCTCCTTTCCACATCAGCTCATACTTCTGACAGCTGAAGCTGCTTACTAAATCCCATCCCAGGGTATGGCAGGTTCAAACTTACACATATATAAACTGAGTATGGAAATCTTCTGACCAAAGGTTAGAAAACTGTATTTTCTACTGTGATCCATTGAGCTCTGGCTGACAGAGACAGTTTTCCATCAGCCTTGGGCTCTGGATGGTTCTTCTTTCACCTCTTTGTTATTTCCCTCACCTTTTTGGCCAGAAAAATCCTTCTTCTCTCACTGTCTTCATTCAACATCCATTTTGCTAGAGTTGGTGAGGATAGCCTACTTATTTGCACAGTATCTTGCTGAATTTTAACTAAACTGCATTATTTAATATTTAATTTTTCCTGGAATCTCTGGGGCTTCAGTAGAATTCTTGGCATCTCTGTTCATGCTTGGGAAAGAGAAGCACATCTATAGGAAGGTCTGATGTAATGTAATTATATATAATTTTCTTAGCCTCGAATGACATCACTGAAGACTCATTTCATTCAGTTGAAGTTGTCCTTCACTTAAATTGAAAAATGTTTCAGTGCAAATGAAACATGTTTCAGTCTGGTTTGGTGCTCAGTATAGGCGGAGAAATAATTTCTTTGTAATAAAGTTAATGTCTGATAGAATTGAGGAGTATGGTCAGACTCTGGCATAAGACTATAATCTGTAATATGTCCTGTTATGTCTAGTAATAATTTGTCATTTCTCAAAAAATCAATTTTTACTTTTTACCATAAACAAGCTTGAGGAAGCATTCAGTCCAAGGAAGTTTGCAGTCTCAGAAAATTGGTGAGTGTTCCAATTGCTGTGTTCAGCACAAAAGTACTTGGACCTCAAGTACTTTCACTTTTGGTAGTATCCCAGTCTTCCTTGGAGTCTTTAACTGCTGAATAAAACTACAAATAAAACTATGAATAAAACTATAAAGATACTGTGCCATATTTGTACTTCTCCAAGGAAGCAGCAAGAAACAGAAGATCCATAGACTAAGCTCAGTATGGAGAGGGAGCTTTTGGATAAATGGTTTAGATTCCTTTAGGATTACTCTTGGAGATGAATGCTGCAGGCAAGGCAGAGGTTATGCTTGGGAGAGATGGGAGAGTTTTTCATTTTCCTCATCACTATGACATATGATGATGTTATTTCTTCGTTCCAACTGGATTAAAAAAATGCAGTTGCAGTGAGAAAGAACCAGCTGAGAGAGGAAGCAGGTACCAGCAGCATCTTCCCTCTCTGCCCATGGGGCTTCAGCGAGGAGTGATGACTGCTGACTTTTCTCATGCTTTGATTCCAGTCTGGTTTTTTTCTATAGCTTTTCTGATGTGACAGGGCAGTGATCAGCAGTGAGACACTTGATGTGCCATGTGTTCTTGGAACATGCAAGATGGGCTAAGCTCTGCAATGGGGTGAGTTGGTTGAAGCAAAAGGCAGAGGTGTGTATTGGGAGAGGTGCATCTCCCAACAATACACTATGTAAATCTCCTCAAAAATGGATTTAAGATTTTGCGGGATAAACAGATAACTCTTCAGGGCCAAAGAGGACTTTCTGCTCAAAGGAAGAGCACACTGAAGGCACAAATCTTTAGAGGGTTTGAGTGATCTCTTGGAAAACATCGCTAACCTTTTATAAATGAGGGAGTGCATCTTCGAAGAGAAAAGGGAAGTGCTATTTGGTTTAGATTTGTGGGTTCCTAGATTTAGAGGAGTATTTTCCTCTTTAAGTTCCATCTCTGTCATGTAGATGGGATGGCACATTAATGCATGACTGTTTACAATCCTATTTCTGGGGTGAGATGTATTGTTTTCTATGAAATAGCTCACTTTTAGTGTGAGTGGCTTGTGGTGAAAAGGATATGTTGTAGAAAATATATGTAAGTTTTGAAGTAGCTCTGTTGGATTCTAAAACTTAGCAAAACAAAAACATCCACTACATCTGAAAATTATTGCAGATTACTGAGACTGCACTAGGGGAGTATAAATAAGCAGACAACAAAATAGCAAAGGCAGCAAATCACAGAGTACATTGACCACAGCACTTAATTTGATTAGTCCACTCACTATTTAAAATTTGTGTTGAGCTATTGCATAATAGTATCAAGATCATAGCAAACAAATAATCTTTTTTGCATGATATAGAAGGTGTAAGGAATAGTGAATATATATTAATAGGACCACAGTTACTTCTGTTTCTATTTTTTTTAATAAAGTGGTGTTTTGACAGTTTACATCTTAATAATTTCTGTGAAAATATTTAGTAGTGCAATTTATTTATGAGTCTTGAGTGTAGCAATTAATAGTAAAACCAAATTCTATGGAGTATAGTGTTTGGATTTTTTTGTCTGGTTTGTGGTTTTGGTAAGAATTATGTAATTTTTCACTAGATTTTGTATGTTTTACTGCATTTCAGAACCATGAGTGATACTCAAAGTGGGGAAGTTTAAGCTCAAGGAATACTGCTTGTTTTCTTGCTTAGTATTACTGTTTGTGTCCATATTGATTGCTGTATGATTAAGACTTCACCGATGGGGAAATATTTTAGCCTCAAAAATTAACTATACAAAGAAGCAACAATAGGAGTAAAAGGAAGAGATTGTGTCATCTCGCCCTAAGAGGAAAAGCAAATTTCAGAGTCACTGTCCTATTTGAAATGTAAGCTTGAATGAATGTTTGTGGACTGCCCTCTTGGGCAGTTGCAGAAGGTTGCAGTGAATCCTGAGAGTGTGGCAGGAGAACAAACTGAAGGGTCACGCTTTTCAAGGGAACAGGGGTCACTGATACAGTAAATGGAGTTTGCTTAGATCTGGTTGGAACAGTATGATATTTAACTAGTCTCTCAAAATACAAACAAATGAATTTACCTGCTATACTACTGCAGGACCCCAACTCACAGAGCTGTAAATTGACATCAGTTCTTCACCCTGCAGTGGTAAATATACATTGAGCCACTGAATTCTGTCAGTGGAATACTCTCCTTGCAATGGCCTGGGTAATGAAGCAGGAGTGTTCTGTAGGAAGGCTACCCCCTGCTATTATTCTTCCTCTTGAGGCAATGATTTTTTTGGGGGTTGAGAATGTATCAAAAAGGCCACATTTTCAGCTTGGGAACAGACAGTGTTGCACAAAGATACATGATAACAACCCCCATAAAACATCTTGTTCTCTTTGGGTTCATCCATTCATTCAGTTCCTTGGGTAGTGCCCATTGCCCATGGCTGGGAGGAGCTGTGAGTTTGCAGTGCAAGACTGTGGTCTGGCAGAGTAAAGTACTGAATTAATGAAATAGGACTGAAAAGCTCATGAGTATCATATTTTCTCCTCCCTTACTGTTTCCAAGATATCTGCTGTTGGGGGTTTATTAACAGATATATTTTTATCAGGTAAGGAGGAGAAAAAGAGGCTTCTGGAAGAACTGTCTGTGATGTATAAACACAGCTTTGGATGTCAAATGTAAAAATGAGATTTATCATCTACAGCTGAGGGATACTTAGTATTGGTATCTTAGTTTGAAGTTTTAATTTCTCTTGTATATTTGCCAGGCATATAATAGGATATATTGTTTTGAGTTTTAGTATTTTTATGTTTTTTATTTTTTCTCATTTGGAAAATCCCAAATTCAGCAAATTACAGTGTGGTCTATACAATGCTGTGTCTGAAATTTTTTCTTTTATCTTTTCTTGCTTCCTATCTAAACATGACTGTTGACATTAAGTGCTTCTACAGCCTTCTGTGGTATTGCACCCTGCTGAGTAAGGACAATTTTAGTACTGAAGTGACACAGCCTATTAGATTTTTATCTGCTTTTATTTATCTGATTTTAAAGGTTCATATTATTTTAAGTTCTGCTGGCTTTGTTTTTGCTTGCTTAAATCATGTTGGTCTACCTATCCCTTAGGAGAAGTTTGAAAGCTGACTTTGTCCAGTTACTTACATTGCTCCCAACCCATCTGTGCTGTTGACACCTCTGTTGCAGCATGATCCATGGGTTCAGTGATTTAGTGTATGTCTGTCTGAATTGTACTCAAGAAGTCCAGACTTGCACTGTGCATAAACCATATTCTTTTTCTGTGGCTGCTCCTTCACTCTGTGCTCCTGTGCCAGCATTCAGAGCACAGAAGGGCCATGAGCCTCCCCCAGCTCCCTCTTGTGCCTCTCAGAAGTTTGTCTTCTTGCTCTTTATGAACCACATCATCATTTGGTTGATTTTTGATATTTTTCTATAGATTAATTCCTTGTTTTGCTGCTATTTGGATTTTTGTTTGTTTGTTTGTTTTTAAGAAAAGAAAAGGTTAAGAATAGAAAAGGTTAAGAGTTTGGTGGGGAGAGTGAACAGGTCATGAAACAACAGAGTTCTTGACATCAAAACTAGAACAAGATGTGTAGCTATCTGCTAGAGAGAACTGACTTCCAGATCATCAGCTGATACTTCAGATGCTGAAACCACAGCCCTCTCTCCAATCTTGTCTATCAGGACAAGATAGACAATTCAAATACCCAGTCTTCAAATAGGAAGCGAGACCTGAGGGAGGCTTATCTGTTATAGGTCTCAGGATACACAAGCCCTCTGCTATCCAAGGCATTTTTTACCCTGAAACACATGGGATTCATCCATGCCTTGAGCAGAAGCTGCACTGCAGACATCCTGTCAGAGTGATGCTGCAGTGGCTGTTTGCAGCTGTTGAGCTGTTTTTTGTGCTTAGCTTCCCACTTAATCCTGAGTTGATGCTGTTATTGAATGGAGGGTCAATGTATGTGTCTGAGGATGGCTGTTCTGGAATGATCCGTCTTGTGCTCAGGTGTTGTTTACCTCTGAGAATCCAGCCAGTTCTGTATCCCAAAAAATAAATGCTAAGCCTGTTCCCAGTAACTAGAGACTTGCCTGAGTGTGCAGCACTCTTTAGTGCAGTAATTCATCTACATCAGCTCTGGACTAATTCACTGAATCTATTATTTATCACAGCTGCTTTTTGGAGTGTGGATATACTCAGAATAGGAAAAAAACCCATGATGATAATTTAAGGTAGCATGCCACTGAAGTGTAAAATGTGCTGAATCTCATATTTATCTACATGATGCTTTGCATCCACCTAAGTCAGTGTGTGTCAGCTTTCTACTAGCTTTTACATAAAATATTTTTATACTGTCTCACAGACAAAGCAGTGAGCAGGTGGAACTTCCTAGCCAAGTCCACAAAGAGACATCCCAATCCTTCCTCAGAATGCAGTAAAGCAGCAGTTAGACACCCCTTTCATCCTCTGAATCTGAGTTGTGACCTGGTGGTTCTCACATGCTCAGTGGTTTGGAAAAGTCACCAAATGTTTATTTCATAGTGCTCTCTGCTTTCAGAACAGGGAAAAGGATTTTTTTCCTTGATCACTTCTTTTCCCTCAAAACTTTTGTTCGTTGTCTTCATCTGAATTTTATTTCTTCAGAGACACCAGAGGAGGTGTGGCGAGTTGACCCCAGCCAGCAGCCATCCTCCACCCAGCCACTTGCTCCCTATAAGGGTGAGAGCAGGGCAAGCAAAACCAAGAAAATTCATTAATAGAGACAATTTAATAAATAAATGAAAGAGAAATAAAAATAGGCAACACAAAGGCAACCACTGTTCAGTAGATAATTCATTCACTACCTGGATTGATGTCCAGCCAGTCTCCAAGGACTGGAAGCGTCCTAAACCAACACCTCCAAAGCCCACCCATTTTTACTGCTGAGCAGGAGGCCATATGGCACAGAATATATCTTTACTCATCTTGGGTCAGCTGCTGTGTCCCCTTCAACTTCTTCCCCACCCTGGCCTACTTGGGGGATAGGAAAGGGGGGGAAAAAAAAAAGAAAAAAAAGAAAAAAAAAGAAAGCTGTGTAGGTATGCTGGGCAATAGCCAAAACACAAGTGTGTTACTAGTGCAGTTTTAGTCACAAATCCAAAATACAGCACCATGTGGGCTGCTGTGAAGAAAATTAACTCCATCTCAGCCAGACCTAATACAGGGCATGGCCAGAAAAACCAACTGTAATGGTCATGGGTAAATCCAAACATTTGTGTTCAGAATAAGAAATCTGTGAAGCCTACAAAGTTCTTGTTTGCTTGAACCAATGACACATAAAATTCATGCTGAATGACAGCATGTGAAGAACTTTCCTGTTCCCTACTAGTATTATTTAATTTGTCAGGCTGATGGTGCTTACAGAGAGCAAACTTTCAGATGCACATTTCTGGGCTGCTTCTTTACAGTTGATGTTTCTCTCACTAAACTTTTGAAGTTTGGACGGAGCTTATGTGTCAGAGCCCTAAGTTTGGGTTCTAATCATTTGAGTTTGGTTTTGGGGGGTGATCCCACTGGAGATCTGTTCCTGCTGTCCAAGGAGTTCAAATCATGGTTAAGCTCATCAAATGTAGGGTCTGCTCTTGGAGTCAGGAGCAGCTCTCAAGGCTTTGCTCATTTTAGGAGACTTGATCTCCTCTGGCCGTGGTGCACTGACCTGCACTACCCTCACTGCAGTACAGTCAACGCACTACAGGCTCCATTGGCTGCCCCACTGTAGTGCAACAGGCTGGTTTGTAACATCAGATGCCTGAATCTAAATTTAGACACAAGACCAAAGCTTGGGGGCTGAAATCAGTAGCCTGCATCTGGAGCCCTTAGAGATACCCCCAGGGTATTTAGTTTTGACTTGCCTCCAGCTGTCAGACCAGAGGGACCCGTCAATTCCATAGGTTCAGCCGAGCTATGCATGTGTCTTGCATACCCACAAGTGTCTGAAAAGGCACTTAGTCTGGGCAGCTGAACTGGTGGAGGCTCAGATACCCTCAAGTAGGATAATGCAGGTTGTCTTTATAGTAAGCATAAAATAATAAGTCCTGTTATTTGAAATTAATTTGTATTTCTGTGGCCTGCCAGTACTTCTCTGCATTGAATATGGAAGTTGACATAGAGGCCACCAAAACTGAGACATTTAAAGTGAGGTGAACATTTCTACAAAATCACATGCCCTTCTACAAACAGTAGTTAGTCCTTTTAGACCTGCTGTCTTAGAGTATCACATATTTTTATGCATAGTTTAACAGCTGTAAAACATATTCCCTTTTTATTTGTAAGGCACATTGACATACTCATCTGTTGCACGGCAACATGTAAGAAACTGCTTTTCATGACAACTGCTTTTTATGATTTCTGAGTAGGAGTGCTGGCTTCTGTATTTTCCAGTTGAAAGTTGAGATGATATCCTTATTTATAGACAGTAAAGGAAAAAGAGCTGAGGAAACTTTAGAGTAATACTCAAAACTCTTATACTGAGTTGTACAGGTGGTTTAGTTATTAATGCATTAACATGTATTAATGTATTATTTATTGTTGTGCCATCTTTATAGATTCATAAATATCTGCTTTCTTGCACACAAGGGGAGAGATAAGCTATGTCAACCTTCTGCCTCCTTTATGCTTCCAGTTTATGTGATCTGGTGGGAGGCCATAGCAGTGGAACTGTGGAAGGAAGTGTCAGCTACAGGCTTTCTCTAAGGGAAAGAGGCTGTGGCAGGTTGCTGTCTGGAGCAATCTCATTTGAGATAATGGTTTTAGGGGCTACAGAGCTGACTCCCTGGATGACGTGTGTGGGAATGCTTATCAGAATGCAGTTTTTTAAATATTTTATATTGTTTATGAAGGTCTCAAATACAAAGAGAAAGATGGCAAGGAAATAAGGCAGCACAAAGAGACACTAATGGAATATTTTATGAAGATTATTCACCCTTGAATAAGCAGTTGTTATAAAGTGATAATTTATCACAGTGAATGTTCTTCCTTTCAGACAAGGAGTATTGCAAAGTGATATTTCCGTACGAAGCACAGAACGATGATGAACTCACAATCCGGGAAGGTGATGTTGTCACACTTATTAGTAAGGTAAAAGCAATATTTTTCTCCTATAAGCAGTGATACAGTTTTTAAAACTGACATAATTTAATTGCCATAAAATTAGTATTTATGCCTTTGACAGTGTTGTTGCTAAACCGATGCTAGTTTGACAGTGAAACATTACGGAGACTTCAGAGCCCTACAAATCCCTTCCTCCTGTGCTTCAGAGCCTTACCCTGATAATGAATGTAAAGCAAAGAACAACCAATGTGTACTCTTGAGCCCACAAATTTATAGAATTAATTTTAATTTTAATCTGGTGGCAGAACAATATAAATTGTTAAATTGATCCCTGTAACAAGCATAATGGCTTAGAGAATAAATTGGAAGATTCTAGAAAGCAGCAGCTTTGAATATTAGTATTGTAATATACTCACAGCTTTCACGCGTGAGGCTTTTTTTCTTGTAGGAATTGTGAATTAGATTTTTGTTTTAGACTGAGGTAGTTTGCCTAAATTAATGTACTGAACTAAACATTTAAAATTTAGCCAGTCTTAACATTCTGGTAAAGCAGAGAAATACGACAGAAAATGAATAGTTTTAGATCTGTATTTTTTTATAAAATTATATGAAATTATTCAAGATTAGAAATGAAAAAAACAGATCCAGGATTTATACTAAATCTTCAAAACCCATAGAGTGAGATAGTGAGTAAACAGTTGGTTTTCCTTTAGAAGAAATGTGCACCATGTTACAAAGAACAGATTATAGTTTAGGTGCACTTTATTTCCTGCCCTGTTTAAAGACTTTATGGTTTGTTTAAAAGTTTTTGATTGCTGGACATAAATATTTGTGGGTGAAAAAAAAATCTATAAACTAGAAAAGACCTTTCCATGAGGAAGATGAATCATAACAATGAAACATACACAATACTGCTGCTTTTTTTTGTGCTTATATGAAAGTAAAATAATTAGTACTATAACTGATGAGTTATAAGAAATTGTTACTTGACTGAACAATTTGGCACTGTGAAAAAAACCCCAAAATCTTGGGAAGTACATCTGGGTCAGTGTTTGCCACATACTAAACTATTTTCAATCCTAGAGGACATCTTTGTCCTGAACAATACGCACGTAACCAAGGAAAAGTAATCAGACATTTGGTCAGATGAGAAATTGCAAATGTAAAAATAAATCATGTACATTAAATATCCTTAAATTACTTGTCCTCACTGACTTTTGTTTAGCTAGTTTGTAAAGCTGTGTAGCTCTGCCTGATTCAGAATGTTCTCATGTGAGTATTTAACAGTGTTTCTGATCATGAAAATGGCTTTCTAGATGTTGCTTCTGTCCACTTTATGCTTTATTGACCAGAATGATTTAGTTCCCCAAGATGGCTGGTCTCTGGGTGGAGCTGTGTTCATCAGCAAACACAGATAAAAAGACATTCCTGAGGTTTCTATGTGAGCTTTCATTTGCTTGCTTTTTCCCATTTTCTTCTTCCCTCTGCCTCTGCCCTCACAGTGGAAGGATATTTGTCTTTCATAATAACTAAGCTGATGATTTGACCATATTGATCAGTATTCCAAATCACACAGAGAGAATGGTTTGGAATAGTAAATATGCTATTCTCTAGCCATGTCCTTCTACTCTCCCGGGATATCAAGCCACTGCAGACATTTTATTTTTCTTCTTTTTTTTCTGTGTCATGTCATGTCTATGAACACTTACATAAACTCATGCCTCTAGAGAGTGGGGGGGTCTCAATGCACAAAAGCCTGGAGTTTCTCTGTGGATGCCTTTTTAAGGGATGTCTGAACTGATCTGAGCCACTGAAGAAATGATGCTTAACAAGCAGTCACTCTGCAGATCTTTTGTGCTTTGCAGGCCTCAGACTTGTGGGGTTTCTTCATATGTTTTTAACACAGTTAAAAAAATAAAATTCAGGCTATGTGGAATCAGGGTCTTTGCTGTAGAGTTCTGAAAATAGTGAGGTCTCCTTTATGCTCTACCACATAATACAGTAACTTTATTTTAGTCTAGATCTTCTGAAGCAGATGTCTGTTGTCATCTTTCTTTTAGTCAGCATTAACAAGATCAGCCTCACCTTTCTGCCCACCAATGCCTTCTGCTAGAGAGTTACCCAGAGTTCAAATCACCATGCTTACATGACCAGTTAGTGAGCCATGCTGACTAACAGGCATCAAAGAGAAACATATGGAATGAATCAGAAATTATTGCCATGGCTTTGCTATCAGATCAGAGAGTTTCTTTTAATTTATTTGTAATGAATTGTTTTGCAGCTTTTGCTTTCCATGCTGGAAAGCGTTAGATAGCATTTATTCTTCCCAATTATCTAGACTCAAAGAGAGAAGACTGTTACTTTTAAGGAAACAGATGGGTGTCACAGTACTTCCTACAACCACAGATGCATTATCGTAAAACAATGTATTTTGTTGAAATCACTAAAACCAAAAAGTGATATAGATTCCTAGCATAAAAAATCTGTTACTAGACTAGTCTGTTTTTCCACAGTTAGATCCATAGAAGTGTTGAAGACTTGTAGTTTTAACTCATGCTGAATTTGCTTTTAATTGAAAACTACAGCGTTGGTGAGAATGTGTGGGAGTGGCTGAAGTAAAGAGTGAGTGACAGAAGAATGGGAGAGAAATCTCATGAAAAGAATGTAAAATGCATTACAATAATCTTAAAAGCACGAAGTTGAGATAGCACTTGATAGGTGCTAAGACAAAAGGGGATGGATCAAATGAGCTAAATGGGGAGTTCCTACAAGAGCCTATGAACAGGTGCACACACATGTGACAATGGGTATGTGAGGAAGCTGTTAGTCTATTATTCATCTTAAAATGCTAAGACCTAATTTTGTGGAAAGATGTGGAATCAGTGAATGCAGAATTCAACAGCACCATTTTAACAATATCCACAAATAAAAAGGATAAGAGTATAGCAGATTTCTCTCTTTTATTCAGCTGAATTAGTTATAAAAGTCCCTTTGTCATGATCATAAAATCAAGATCAGAAAATATCACTCTAATATAAAGAGCAAACCATTATTAATTTTTTTATTATTTTTTTTTTTCTGTCATGGACTTTGCAGACTGTTTCAAGTTCTCACCGTTTTGATGGATGTTGAGATCTTGAATCACAAGCTGGTCAGAACATCCCAATAGGTCTCTGTGATAAGAGAATTTGAATACCTGAGTTTCTTTGAAATAGCTAAAGAATACTTTGAAAAGATTTGCTGAATCACAAGTAACCTCCCTAATCACATGCTGGAAAGGTTTATTTAAGTGCTGAAGAAAGTCAGTAGAGGCTGATCACTTACAGGTCAGAATGGTATGTTTTTGGGGAGATATAGGGTGAAGGATGGCATTATGCAAAATTGATAACCAAAAGTAATGGCCTATTATTTGGAAAATATACGCTATGAAATAATCCAAACATATCTTAGTTAAAATGTACCTAAAAGACTGAAGAAAAGCAGAATCTTCACATGCATCTATTCCAAAAATTTCTGGAAAAGTTTTTCTTTCCTTCTTTGTCCCAGTGAAGCAAATACCCTTTTAAATACCTAAAAAAGGTTTTATTTATTAATAAGTGGATATAAAAGTGGGTAAATGGTTGTCTTTTATTTTCTTCATGCAGAATAATGTAAAAACTCTGAAAATATTGGTCAGAATTGTAACAGAAGGCAAAAACTTCATCTTCAAGGCAATAAACTAATAGACCTGGTACCTTTGCTTGGCAAAAAAGGAGTCTAAGAAAAATACGCCTTTGAAAGAAAGAGAATAAAAACAAAAATACAGTAATTTTACTTGTACAGTTAAGGTGATAGCTGTGCATTTTGATGATTAGATATGTTCATGAGGTTAAAATTATGAATGGTAAGAGGCCATGGGATTGACACTGTAGATTATTTTTGCATTGTCAGACATTTGTGTTCCTTAAGTAAATTTTTTTAGTGTCTTCAAAATATTCCTGACAGCATTTGGGTATGGGCAAGAATACTGGTAATGACTGCAATCTGCAGCTGAAGGAAGGTGGAAAACAGGTCTTTTATCATGCTCAAATATTAATTTTGAAGATTGTATTTGTAATAAATAGAGTTTCTTCTAAACAGCAAAAGATTCATGTGACATTTTCAACTGCCATTATGAAAATTTTACTGGACTTTTTATTCCAGCCCTCTTAGACATAGCTATTGTAAGCTACTTTTCCACAAATTTATTAATAGCTTTGACAAATTATGACAAAATGCATAGGATTCTGACAACTTCACTGAAAATGACCTGTGTGAGGAATCAATAGAAATAGCTACATAATTTCAAAGCAAATACATCAAGCACACACTGGCAGCTGTGCTCTAATTCAAAAGCAGTTTTACTTGCAAGGATGTAAGGAAGATTTCATTGCAGTGCATCAATCTACCTGAGCTCTAGGCAGTAAAGACCACCTTGTTCCCAGGAGAGAAAATGGTCTAGATAAATAAAATCAGCTGCTTCAAAAATAATTGCAAAAGTAAGATATCCTCACCTGAACCCTTATTTTCAATGGATGGTACTGATATCAGTGTCAATTCTGCTAATTCTGAATTTTTAAGGTGATTTGCTGATGCTATTCAAATAGTTACTGCATTGGTATTATGAAAGACACAACAGGATAATTACTAGTGAAAAACTTACATGACCATTTATCTGGTCTAGATATTTAATGAGATATTTAATGACAACCCAATTTGTAGAGCTTAATTTTGTGCTGGGGGGCAAAGAGCCACAAACCTAGTTTTAAAAATAAGCATATGGCAATCACGTTTTACAAAGCTTATATTTGCTTTTGGTGTTATTGTTAATAATTTATTGTGAGATTTGCATTTGCTTTTGGTGTTATTGTTAATAATTTATTGTGAGATTTGCAAGTTTTGTGGTTCAAAACGCTGTACATTTAGCGACTTCCTGCCCTGAAGCATATGCAGTCGAGTGATAAGACAGACAAGTACAGGTGAGCAGAAGAGTATAATGAAACAATTCA